CGAGGCTGCGTACAGTGAACGAGACGTTCAACAAAGTACTCGAGAAAGACCGCGACCTACTGACAGCCGTAAAGAAGCGTACGCTCTGAGCGGAATAAAATGCGCAGACAGCGAATTAACATTAACGACGAGTGTTTTAGTGGCGAGGCATCAGGTGGCACAGAAGGAATTGCTGCGTATTGAGGCCGAGATCGAGAACAAGAAGCAGAAAGTCGTTCAGTATGCTGCACAGCTGCGCTGCTCCCAAGAGGATATCGCCGATGTACTAAGGAAACACCGAGTTACACTCCAAAATGCCAAGCAAAAGTCCAAAGGTAGAGTCCTATGTTGCTGGAATCTGGATACAAAATATTCTAAATATTGTTTTACTATGAATATAGTGGTACTGGATCCGCGCGATATCGTTGCATATGCTCACCGTATTGCAGGCACGACGTCAGCGCCGAAAGAGTGGCAACCTGGGGTAAGTGTACCTTGGGTACCCATTTGGGGTGTAATTGATGTTGCTAATGCACATTTTTTGGTGTTTTGTGATACAGTTCCCAATGTTCGGATTCATGCCACCAGCACCACAAGAGCACATGATGCGTGCGGGTGTACTCAGTCGTGGTATCGTCGCAGAAATTGTAACTCAAGGTCCGGAGAAGTATACGTCTACTGCAGCTAGAGTGAGCAAAGAAGGCGACGGTGATGCCATGGAGAAGCTCAATATCCCCATTGGTTTGGGTGCGAGTGATGCTCAGATCCGCAAGCAGATGCCGCCTGGATGGAAGCCAGGCGACCCCGTGGATCTGCCACTCGATGCTCTGCTGCACTACATGGGTCGGAGTTTCTTCACGGAACACGGTATCACGCTGCCTGAGTCGTGGAAGACGGGCGACCCGCTCCCTCCGGACGCAATGGAGATATTGCGCAAGAAGTTTAAACTGCCTGAGAAACGGGCAGCGCTGTACGACGACGAGGTGGTGGACGATGTCGAGAGTTTGCGCAAGAAGCGCAAGCTCGAGGAGGGCGACAAGGCTGACGAGGGCACAGCAGAGAGTGACAGCTCCAGCGACTCGAGTGACAGCGACGAGGAGGCTCCGAACACGATCTCGCTCAGTCTCTCGTCGTCAGAGGACGAAAGTGACGATGATAGCGACTAAAGTTGCTCGTAAATATGCACGCCATATGGCTACATTTTATTGTTTGCAGATTACGGTATCTTTTCAATTATGTTAATTTCACACGCTTAATGATCGTCGTTACTGGACTTACCCATTACTTACTCGGGAAAGGTAAGAAAAGATACTTTTTGGCAAACTTCAAAGCTAATCGTGTCAAACTCGCAGCACGTCGTCGTCGAACCCGCTCGCTTTTCTTAGCCTTTCGAAGGCGGTTCGTGTCTCGCGCAACGGTAATTCACTGCGTTCGCCCGCTCGTGATTGGACTGTCGATCGTATCTGGTCACTGGTCTCCTGTCTCCTCGCACCTTGAGGGGTTCCACAACTGGGCGGTTGGTTCACTTCGCTTGGCGCACGCCTCGCCGCCTCGTCGGCTATTATTACTTGGTCCTCGCCGCAGATAACTCGAGATCTTCAGCATCCACGCTGCTAAGTCGCGTTCACTCTGGTATTTGCAGCGTCCCAGCCGGCTGTCGAAGTCTCAGCTCCCACTTCTCAAGTAGAAATTCACTCTTAGACACCATGGCAAGTCGACCGGTTCAGAAGATGGGCTCGTTGGCCAAGCTCCGTCAGCAGGAGGCCACAGCCACCAATGTAGCGTCGCCTAAAGGCATCTCCATCAAGACGCCGGGAAAGGTCCCGATAGCGCAGACCGGAGGGGACCATTCCCTTGGCCTGCAACGTCGTCGACTATCGGTAGTTAGTGACAACAAGCTGGTCGATGGGATGGCTGCAGCTAGTATTGAAGACGTGGACAGTAGCGAGCAGGCTCTGGCGGACGCTAATTGCGCAGTGGTAGCCTTTGCCGGGTTATCTAAGAAGGGGTACGCTCCCTATAACCCACGCAAGAAGAACCAGGACGCAATGGTGATTAAGTACGACGAAACCACACAGTCACTGCTCTTGTGTGTGTTTGACGGACACGGTGAAGCCGGTGACGGCGTGTCCGGCTCTATCCGCGACAAGTTCGCTACGGAACTCTTCGCCCACGACAAGTTCGCGCGCGCTGGAGACATCAAGCAGGATGCCGAGAGTCTACAAACCGCCATTTTGGATACACTACAATCCGTGGAGCAGGCCGTGCTGCGCGATCCGAGTATTGATACCGAGTTCAGTGGGACAACGGCAGTAGTGAGTGTAGTGCGAGACAACCTGGTGGTGGTCGGGAACGTCGGAGACTCCCGTATCACTCGAGGCTTCGTCAAGCAGGCTGGTCCTTCAGGTCCGGACTCCATGGGCTGTCAGGAGTTATCTATTGATCACAAACCTGACCGACCGGACGAAAAGGCTCGTATTATCGCCAGTGGTGGTCGAGTGTTCGCTGTAGAGTACGACGACGGCATCGATGGCCCTCCTCGTGTCTGGCTGGGACACATGGACGTCCCAGGACTCGCCATGTCCCGCTCACTGGGAGATGCGGTGGCACACACGGCTGGAGTCCTCTCGGAGCCGGAATTCACGACTCGGTGGCTCGATGAACACGACCGCTGCCTCATTGTAGCCACTGACGGTCTGTGGGAGTTCATGTCCAATGAGGAATGTATGGAGATGGCCATGGGCCAGCAAGACCCGAAAGTTGCTGTGGATCTGCTGATCATGGAGGCAAACCGTCGCTGGATGAAGGAGGAGCAAGTCATCGATGATACCACCATCATCGTGGCGTATATTGACACGGTCGGGGTCAAGGAAGGCGACAAGGTCACGGCATAACTCTTGAAAGAGCGGATATACAGTATACACACCGTGACGCTGTGGCTTCTATATCGTCCGTCCGGCTCTTCTCGCTTAATTTAAAAATTAATTAAATAAAGCTCCACATCGCTCTTTGTAGCACCATAGCAGGCCACACTGCCATAGGAAATGTAGATGTGATTCACGTGAGGATGGAACGATGTCCTCGATGTTGACTTTCAATGCAAATGAGGTCGCTACATGTAGATCCACAATTTCTGTTCTACTCAATTGTCAGAATGCGCTGAGGAGCTCAGAAATCGTCGTCGTCGTCATCGTCGTCTTCGTCGCTGAAATACGTTCGCCGTTTCATCTGATAACCACAAGATGAATGAGCTTTATAGTCGCTTCTAAGCAACTTTTGCACTCGCAGTCGTACCGTGACTTTCGTGCGCTGCTTCTCCTCATTGACGCCCACTTGGTTGAGCAAGTCGATGAGCTTGTCTTCGTCGATCTTGGCAGCCAGTTGGCCACGTTGAGCCATTTGGATGACCATATCCTCAATAGCACGCGCCTTTTCGGGCTTCACGATAGCTATTCTAGCCACTATATCGCAGTAAAATCACCAACTAGCGGTCGCAAATCAACTGGATCGAACAAGACCCACGTACAGCGCTCACGGGCGTCCGGCAGCATAACCTGTTGCACCAAGGACTGACGCATCTGCTCCTGCTCCCTGTTTATTAGATCATATTTAGTCGATATTTAGTTTGACAGGATAGCAGACTGAGGACACGCACTGCTGCTTCATTTGCTGCTGTTGCATCTGCTCCATAGACATCTGCGGCTGAGTCGCGGACTTCTTCTAAGCAGCGTGGGCATACAGTCGTCGTTACGGATTGAGTATTGCATCGTAAAGCGCACCAGGCAGCTGTATGAGAGAAATAGCAAGACGAGCGACGCGAGGCTGTGCCAAAAGCGCACATGCAGAAGACAACTTACGCTCATATTGACGGCTTGCTTTGGATCCGAGGTCACTAAAACGATAAATGACACTGGCCCACAATATTAAAACGCTCTTTCATCCAATCAAGTATGAGCCTGAAGCCCAAAATAATCAACCAATAGAGATAGACATTGTGATAACCTAAATCAGTTTTTAACAATTACAAAAAGGGCTAAAAACAGAAATTCATGTACCTTACTTCGAAGAATAATACAGTAATGAAGCAACAAGGGTAAAATTAATTTCCTGACAAACTTCATATCGCCCTCGACATCACGGAGATGGGCAAGGCACTGAGTCACTACTACTGATTCGAAAATCCAGTAGCCCAGGCTGGTTCAACCACTATGTTGATCGCTAGACAGAATTTGAATTTTAGCGCCGTTAATACATGGACATGCACATGCACATGTTATCTGTAGCCGCTGTCGATCCCAGCGCATTTCCAATTCCGCTCGCGATCACACGCGATGCCGCCACCAGCGCTGAAATCATGTCCAAGAATCTTCTACGTGCCTTCGCCTCACCTGGGGCGAGAAGACCAAACGTACGCGTCAAAAAATTACCTTCCAACACAACAGCAAAGGTGTAGCCAACGGGCCAGAGAATAATTCGCTGTGTTAAGAGGTACATTCTCAGTCAGAAAATGCTACATATCTTAGATTACGTAGGGGGATATGTAGATAAACCCTATTTACTAGTAGTAGAAATGCTCACAGCCTTGTTGTGGTGTGAGACAGCGCGGTCTAAGGGGGGTCCAGGTCCAGCGACTATCAAGTATTGTTAGCAGCATTCGGGTTTGATAAACAAAGCCAGTGTTAGCTATATGCTTAACTAAATTAGTTGGACAAAGCATTCGACCCATAGCTGCGTAGTGACCTCATTATACACTCTAGTAATTATTATAAATCAGGCGTTGCTTCACAAGGCAGATTACTGTACGTCAATATTACAACAAGGGGCTAACCATTAATCAGGATACAAGCCCAGCTCGTCGACGACGTCGTGGCATGACGTCCACCGTCGTGCTGGACGACATCAATTTCCACGATTGGTTCAGGTACCGGAGCCCAAATACCGCCACGCTGTAGTCCTGGTACACGGCCACTAAGAAAACTTGCTCCAGTCTTTCGCAGGTAGAAACACTTATATCCGGTGTTTAAGTACGAGGTGAAATCCTGGGTTTGGGTCGCCATGTCGACCGGAAATGTCGTGCTGCGCGACATGGGGTGTCATGCCAGCTGGATACACTCGTGCATCGACGTGTGTCTCTTCTTCTGTGACAGGAAAATGGGGCTGCTGGACCTTCCTATCTTGCGTAAGATCGATGGGGAGCCGCAGGTCGTTTTTCACCTCGGTCCATCGAGCTGATCAAATACTTGAAGAGCCCCGCGCAAATGCCTCCAAGCAGACCGCTAACCGGGATGAAGGCCTGTTGACCTACTGTGTTGACCGGGTGGATAAGATTAAAGGTAGAATTGAGCACTTCAAGAGTGCTGCCAGCACTAAACCACCCATGTTCATGATCATATGGCAAGGAATTGCGTTATGCGCGACTTCGAGTGCGAATAGCCGAGTTCGTCTTCGAATAGTGAAAATGAGCTATTGGTACAACCTAGGGGGAAACAAGCAAAATTGCACCGACGATATCTACGCTGGGATATGAAAAGAGGAAAACCATAAGCCTTAGAGCGAGCTATTCTCGAATTTTAGGCTGATACAATCTTGCCGATAGTTTATCGAGATCAAGTCTGCCAATCGTCTTCTTCGTTTAGCTCACTAGATGGCTATTTTCTGGAATAGATACCAAAAAGCAGAATGCTGGGAGGGCCAAGTTTAGATTGCAACGCTATGGTTTGCGAGGACGAAGAAGGTTTTCCCTCACTGGCTGTCAAAAGAATACCCAATGACATGGCAGAATAATGCTCGAGCTTACTTGCTATGAGTTTACGGCATTCGGCTCTTTCAAACCAGCCTCACTCGATGCCGTTGCTATAGCTCAGCGGATGGTGCTGTTATTGATTAAGATGAACGAAGAGAGATGGCGTATTGGGGCGGTCGCTTTCGGATAAAGCTGGGCAAAGCAGCCGTGTTTGCAGATCCTTCGGTGGCCCGAGATACCGTTCGTGATATGTTTCGCCCACGACTTGAACAACACAGTAAAAGTAACTCTAAAGTCAGACTACGCGAAAGGCACAAGGAGACCTCCGATGCGATGAACGGTCTTAACATCGCTTTTTCAAAGAGGTTAGTTGAGTCTCAGGTTGCATGTTTGACTCGTTTGAATACGACCTTAGCTTTAGCCAGCTTTGCGAAACACGGTGGAATAACATGAGCATTTGTCTTTCTTCATAACTTCGTCTCCGTAGTGATCTAGAGATGCTGGAAGTCAAATTTCGCAGAGATGACGATTATCTGAGCTCTTTACATGTTTCTTAAAAGAAGGTACCCCCGCCCCGAATTGTCGCCCCGTTAAACGACGCTCACCGAGCTTGATTAATTTACGAGTTCCATTCTTTTCATAGTATCGGTCACATTGAACGCGAGAAGATGCGTCCCTTTCTCTCGGCATCTACTGGCACACATGTGCAAGATAATGCGTTCTTGTAAGGAAGTGCCTAGATCCACCAACTATTTTTGTAGACAAAGTACAATCTGAAATACCGACTTTACCCTAACCACACAATTGATTTTTTCGATTTTTAAAGTTTTGACATTTCAAACCGCTCCTGTCCGCTCATTTCTTATCCCCCGTTCGCTTAAATGGAGGACGCGAAGAAGGTCAAACGCGCGCCAACGCCAGGAGGCGTGCGCAGCTGCGAGGGAGACACGGCGCATGACAAGAAGCTTGCTGAGGGAAGGGACGAGATAACATCGGGGGGCAGCGGCGTAGAGTCACCAGGGGCCAGCACGCATCGGCCAGCAAAAATGACGAAGAGGAGCGGCACCGACGCTGATGCCATCCCGCCAGGTGACGGAAACTCCCGCGATCCAGACGACGTTGATCAAGCCGAAGTTCGTGTGAAGGGTGAGCCCTTCGCTGGTGTATTCGACTCGTGGGATGATATGGAGGCGGCATTCAGCGGGTATGTACAATTCTTTGCAATTAATTTTATTTATCAATTTTGTTTTAATTTATAATTTTGTTTTTTTCCTAGCTACCAGCGCGATACATTCCAAGTCTACAAACTGCGGACGAGCAACTCAATTAGAGATCGCAATCGAACTCGTGCTCGGCAAGCGGAGGCTCGTGGAACGCAGCCAAAGTTATGGGATGAAGCACTTCTGTACTACACGAAGGGATGGACATGCACTCACGGAGGTCAATTCAAGCCTAAAGGGCAGGGGAAGCGTACGAATCACACAACACGTCGAATTCAGTGTCCTGCGAAGCTGAATGCATTGTTGTTCGTCGACGAGGATGGTTCTTTTCGCGTGCGCGTGAAGCTGCACGATTCCACACACAACCACGCCATCGGCAAGAACGTGTTCAACACATACGCAGAGACGCGGAAGATCACGTCACCTGCTACTCGAAGTGTCGTTCGGACAATGTGGCAAGGTACGCCGCAACCAACCAGGAAATTGTTTTATTATTTACGTATCACTAAGTTTGTTTTTAGGAAGGTGGAGCCAAGAGAAAAAAAATCCTCCGATACCTGAAAGATGTATCTGGAAAGCCGATTCAAACGCAAGATGTAAACAACATGATCGCGGAGATGAGACGTGAGTCCTACACCTCGCCTGACGCCAACGTTCGCGTTACGGAGCTACTACATGACTTCAGCGAGGGCCCCGGTAACATGGTGAGGGTGTACCGAGACACGGACTCTCAGTTAACGAGCTGTATTGCCTTCCAGACGAGTCATATGAGGCGCATGGCGCGTCTGTTCCCTGAGGTGGTCTTCATTGATGCTACTCATGGCACGAACATCAACAGGTGAGCAGAATGACGTTATTGGTTTGGTTGGTGACTCTGTTGGTATAGTTGGTATAATTGGGAAATAATTGGATACCCAATTTCGCTACCAATTACTATAACAACTACTATACAAATTACTTACCAATTATGTTTATTTAGCTTATATTATCATATCTTTCTAACCATTCTCAACTATTCCTTTCTAGGTATCGGCTTTTTAGCTTCATGGTGACGGACAAATTCGGTTGTGGAGCGTTTGCGCAGCATTCACTGATTGATGGTGAAACTGAACAGAACATGAAAAACGCAATTTCGGCGTTCAAGATCTACAACGAATGCTGGAAGGAAATCCAAGTCATAGTTATTGACAAGGATTTTACCGAGCTATCCACACTCGAGGCTGAATTTCCTGAGGCTTCTATTATCCTGTGTCACTTTCATGTGATTGATTATCTCAAGCGAGAAATCAGTAAACGTGAGTACGGTTTTACGGACTTCGAAAAGCTTCACCTCAAGAACTTTATTACGATTATGGTTCGAGCTACAACTGAGGAGCTATTTGATCACTACCTGAATGCTCTGAAGGAGTTATGTCGTAGGAAGTTGGCATTTGTGGAGTATTTGGAGACCAACTGGCTTTCGTGCAAAGATCGATGGTGTACATTCCGTCGAGGTGAGCTGCCACATCTCGATAATAACACCAACAATAGGCTTGAGGCTAGCTGGGGTGCTGCCAAGGACGTATTGTCGAGACACATGCCAATGGATGAATGTATTGAAACATTTCTATTTTTACAGCAGGCAGCTGAAGACTCTTACAAGATCAAGACTACACGGATCGGTCATCGTGTAAATCATGGCTACGACCGAGAAATGAAGATGTTAGCTCGTATAGCCACGCACCATGCCTGTAATCTCGTGGAGGAGCAGTACAAGGCTTTTCAAAAGGCAGAATACACAGTGGTAGCAGATGCAGTGGTAGCAGATGGACTGACGTCAACGTTTCAAACTCTCAGAAGCAAAGTAACTCAGCAAGACTACGCGGTATGTTGTTTATTGATTCATTTATTTTTAATTTGCCTCACTTTATTCTGGAAATTCAAA